ACATTGCATTCTTTCTACGAAATGTTTTTTTTTTCAAAGAGGCTGTGTGTGAATGTATAAGTTAGTGTAAAATATTTGTTCGGACTGGCTGAAATGGCATTGCATTTGACAATTTATTTGATGTATGGAAAGTTTAACATACACTGTTGCTATCTCATGTAAATCACTCGACAATGATCAGAATGAATAGAATAGTGAAAAGTTAACTTAGCTAAAGGCTAAATCATTGATGCTTTTGGCAATGATTAATATCCAACAATATTGTATCTTTAATTATCAAATTTATTTTCCGCTTCTATTACAATTAATTTATTTGCTTTGACTATTTCCATTTTTTTAGAGATGATCAGAAAATAGGTGATAAAATGATAACAATCCACATAATTCTATTAACTTTCCTAGAATGTTAACAGTTAAATTTCTACTTCTTTCAAGGACAAATAAAGAAACTCTCCGTATTCTTTGAATGTTTCTATTTTAGAGATTTACTTTTGTGTTTGAAAATTTTGAAAATTATCGAACGGAAGATAGGCTTAATCTTCCAAAATTAACATTCAAAATCTTTCAAATTTTCAACTTTGACTTTCCATTTTTCAAATTATAAAATATTCCGCACGCGAGTAGCTCAAGTTATCTAACTATATAACTGCATCAAGTAATAATTTAGCCTTTTATACAAGTTTTTTATCTTATTCAAAGCACTTTTCTTATCCCATTTCGGAAACAATCTTTCAATCCAACTTTCCATTCTGAAAATGAAATCAACAAAAAATTCTTTTTTATTATTTAATAATTATCTATTTCATGTTTAAATGAGGAGCATTAATTATGCGTGAACTATCATTTGGAGAGGACAGATGAAATGATTGGAAAAAAGTTTTGTGTAGGAGGAATTCCGAACTACATCACTTAGATATAATATTTTACAGTATAATAATTACCTTATTTTATATTTCTCCACCGATTTTTTCATCCAAAATATTGAGATTATCTTCAAATCTTTTCTTTATCAAACTGTAATTCGATGTAGAAGTGTTTTTTTTAATCTATAATTTGATATCAATTTTGGGAAGAAAGCATTTCTCAGCTCACTTTGAATATTTGATCCTTTAATTCCTAAATTTCATCGAAGTACTTTTCACTGAAGTGGAAGACTTCAACGTTTGGTTATTTTTGTCCTACAAATAATCCCAATTGTTTCCCAAAAAAAATGTCATAATCTCATTTGAGATTTAACCGTTCACGAAGACAGAATTTCAATTTTGACTGCTAATCAACTTCTGGAACATACTAATTAGTTATATCCGCAATTTCTGTAAATAGCAAGTAGAAAGGGGGAGTTAAGGATTAAGTCTGTAAATCAAAATAAATCGCTGATTCAAATTGATAGTTAATGGAAATCAATTTTGTCATCAATCCTGCAAGAGAAATAGCTTCTCCCAATTTTAAGGAATGGGAGATTTTTTTGCAATTTATAAAATTAACCGATTCAACGTGTTAGACTTGATTATTTGCACGGAGTCACTACTTTACCCTGTCATTCTCCAATAATTAGCAGTACCTTCGCGATCTTGCAGAGAAAGGGCACATTTATCTTCCTGATATTGAGTGTTCGTAGTGAATCACGTCTATACGGGCATTGTACTGATAATTAAAATCATTTCGTGATTAAAGAT